GCATCGTGATCCACATGGGAATCCGCATAGGTGCCTTGTCCGCAGTCGTTGTCGTCGTCGTCGTCGTCGTTGTCGCTCGTCGTTGTCGTCGTCGTTGTCGCTCGTCGCTCGTCGCTCGTCGCTCGTCGCTCATCGTCGTCGTGCGCGTGGACGCAGCTGGAGCCTGTTCTCTTATTCCCGGCCGATGATGGCAATTGTCTGGGGGGGTGTAGGGGGCCGACGACGTCGCGTTTCGCGCCGGCGGCGTCTGGGAATGCTTAGGAATCACCGAGGACGGGTAGCATGTGGGTGGCGATCTGTACTGCAACGCCTGTGTACACCATAGTGCCTGCGTGCACCACAGCGCCTGTGTACACCACACCGCCTATGTACACAGCAGCCGCGTTCATCTCAGCGCCAGTGTGTGCCACAGTGCCTGCTGGCACCACAGCGCTTGTGTACACCACAGTGCCTGCGTACACCACATCAGCCGTGTGCAACACAGCACCAGTGTACACCACAATGCCAGCGTGCACTCAGCACGGCCCCAGTGAATAGACCATTCTGCGGTGCACGGTGAGACCCGCACGTGCGCTGCAGTGCCGACCCGCGCGACAGGAGGGAAGAGTGAGGGAGGAGGAGGAGGACGAGGAGGAGGAGGACGAGGAGGAGGAGGCGGAGGTGGAGGAGGGAGGAGGGAAACACGTCGCATTTTATTATCAACACTTCCCTGGCGTGGCGCCAGATGTCCGCAGCAGATCCTCACCGGCATGCTCCTTCTACCTGTCTTGTGCACGCAGGCACTGGTGTACATCAGCGCCGCGTTGCACGCGGATGCTGTGGTGTAGACAGGCGTTGTGGTGTGCATAGGCATAGGCGCTGCGGTGACGTAAGCATTGTGGTGGACACAGGCGCTGTGTTGCACAGAGCTGCTGCGGTGTACACATTCGCTGTGGTGTACGCCGGCGCTGTGGTGCACGCAAGCATTGTGGTGTACACAGGCGCTGCATTGCACACGGCTGTTGCGGTGTACGCAGGCGCTGTGGTGTACACAAGCGCTGTGGTGCACGCGAGCACTGTGGTGTACAAAGGTGCTGTGGTGCAGATCGCCACCTACATGCTGCTCGCGTCGCCGTCGTCGTCGTCGCTCGTCGCTCGTCGCTCATCGTCGGCGTGCGCGCGGGCGCGTCTGTGGTGCCGGAGCCGCACGGCGGGTGGGGGGGCGTCACGTCATACCCCCTCCCCGCCCCCCCCCATGACGCCCGTCATCGCCGATGATAAAGGAACGCGCTCTTTTCTGAGTGAACGATCCAGAGTGAGATCGCAGGCGTTGTCTCGCTCCCGAACCCCGAGTTGGCCCTCCAAACACTTCTTCGTCTGTGTCGTATGCATGGCCGCTGGCGCTGTCGCGGGCGTGCACTCAAACTGTCGCGCGCGCGAGTTGCCCCGCAAACGATTCATGGGTATGAAAGAAGGAGAGCCTGGGATACCCCCAGGGGGCGAGTCAGACACACCCCGATTCAATGATGGACGCCCCGTGATTGTATACACCCCCGAGTTGAGCCCCCCATGTTTTGTCCAGTCGAAAGCCCCACAATGTCGGGGACGGGGGTCGCCACCCCGCTGCTATACAGTCAACGCGCCTAGTAAGGACGCGTGCCTTCATCTAGGGCACCCTTGTGTCCTTGCCTCTGCGGCTTGTCCTTTGCCGTGTTCACTGGTCGCCCGCCGCCCAACAAATCCCAACTTCGGCCTCCGAGGGTCTCGCGTCCTTACCGCTCGTCCTTTGTACACGTTTTGACTGTAGCCGAAAGAAGACGAAGAAGAGCAGCAACGTAAGCACGCTGGGTCGATGCTGAGTTCCTGTCATGCTCCTGCCGTATATCCCTCTATTAGAGACACTTGGCATCGCTCGGATGTGTGCATGTTTCCTCGGCCAGGGCCATCGAGGAGCCTCCTGTGTCAGATCGCGAAAAAGTAGACGCATAGATCCGAAACATTCACGGTGAATGGGCGTCCGAGCGATGGCAAGGACATGTGCTTTTTGGAGGGGTCCAGGTGCCGAGAGACTCGGGCCCGTGGCGCGTCGCCCGCCCGCCAGCCAGAAGGATATAGCTGCGCGTGCACGGCCGCTTGGCGCCCCTGCTGGCGCTCGCGCACACGTGTCACCGAGCGCGTTCCACTACTCGCGAAGCGCCTAAGGTCGGACCGAGGTATCAGATCGAGGTCGCTTCGGGAACGGTGCGCTACTATTCATTCGTGTTTGTTGGATGTTCTTGTGCATCCTCGGGAGAGTACCCTTGGCTGTTCTGTGTGTTTTGGCCAGCGGATTGTCTTATCATCTTGCAGGATGCTCTTCGGTCCTAGGTCCGGCCGTATCAGAAAAAAACACATGTTCGCCTCGATGCAGTGGATCGTACATCCCCCGCGGCGGATCCATGCCATTTGTGCGAGCAGTTACTCTGCGAGCTGCGAGTAGTGGAACGCGCCTGTCTAGCGTTGTCTTATACTGCGCTCTTCG